CATTACCTCTATTCCCGCATCGACATCAAGTGCGTCCGCAGATGTGCTTGAGAAGAACCTCGAAGAAGCCAAGAATTACAACAGCCTCTTCGATTCCCTGACAGAAGAGACTGCGTGTGTCTCGGGTCAGGTCGCATGCATTAACGGGAAGATCGGGCAGTGCGCTAGCGATGGCACTTTTGCCATTACGAATTGTGCGTCAGGCTTGTCCTGCCTTGCGTTGCCCATGAACACTACCATTGGTGTCGAGGTTGGGTGTTGGGACAAGGCCACCGCAGAGAATGCACTTGGTGGAGCTTCGAGCGTTTCGTCAACTGCCTCTATTCCTGTGAGTTCGTCGACCAGCGCCATTCCATCTACTAGTGCCGCAACCTCGGATAAATCAACCTTGATCACGATTACTATCACGCCTACAATCACGGAAACGAGCCAGATTGTCATTACTTCGAGCGCCTCAAGCGTGCCAGCAATTACAGATTCTAGCTCGGTTGCTGTTTCAACTGTGAGCTCTGCTTCGTCATCAGCCGCGGCATCTAGCTCTGCCAGCAGCTCTATTGTCCTGTCCTCCGTCCTGGAGACTTCGAGCAGTCCTATCAGCACGGCGCCGCCCACTACTCTTGTCACCGTTACTCGTCCCTCCAGCTCGGACGCGCCTGCGACTGTCACCTCCACGGTCACGGTCACACAGCCTGCGTCATCATCTTCGTCCGCACCCGTCCTCACGAGTACATCCGTCGCTCCTACCACGTCGACTCATATCACACCGACAACGACATCGTCGCCCGATGACGTCACGCCCACAGGCGTGCACATCATCCCAGTGACGGAGACTGGACACCATGGGCATCACGAAAAACAGAACGACCCCAGCGCTCAAGCGACGAGTGTGATGGGCATCAATGCTATGAGCACCGATGCTGCTGTTACTGTCACTGTTACGGAGACAGTTACGACGACAGAAGCTGGTGCAACTGCCACAGTGACCGTGACCGCCTTTGCGTAGAATAATGATCATAGGGGCTTTAGCAAGGAAATAATGTGAGGGGAAAAGGAATCAGTCCGGCCGATCTACATACCTACTGTCACCAATGATCTATTTTGATCTATTTCTTTTTCTTCTCTCGTCTCGTTCTTTGCGATAAGCGTTGGAGTTCCGGACAGACGGGGGCATCCAAAGCAGGTGTTGATTTGGTTTGTTACAGGGCTCTGAAGCGCGGTGAAGGAAAAGCAGGATTTCATTTCTAAATACCCTTTTCTCCTTGATAATACTTGATTCCTAGATATTTAAAAGTTTGCCTATGTTGTTCTTATGTATGAATCTTTTCAATTGCCGTGTGTGGAAAGAGGTTCGTTCAGAACTGAAGTCTTTTCATGGGAGTGACACTGAGATTGTATAACATACAAGATCGTAGTTTGACACCAATAAAAATGACTCTACACAGCTGAAAGCTCATGTTCATAATTTCTATCATTCGCAAGTGGCGCTATCATCGCACTACAGGTAAGTGAGATTGACACCATTCAGGTCTTTCATGTAGAATTGCTCCATGCTCAAAATGCTCCCACGACAGGTTCCACGCTTCGAGTACGCGTAACGCAATGTGTGTCGGTAACAATGGCCCAATGGAAATTCGAATCTAATTATGTGTTGCCTCATCTGCAGGGTATCGGTATTGCATTAGGCGATTGTTCATTTCGCTTTGCGCACCCGGGTGATTCTTCCTATATTAGCAGTGGGTATGCCAGACATGCTCAAAGCGCAGTGAGTGTTGAATCTCATGAATACCTAAGGTAGGCGACAGTGGCGCATGAGCTCTCCTTGTTCCATCATGTACTCGATCCGTCTGCCAAGCGCCATCATACTCGTCGGTGCACAATGCCTCGAGAAATTTCACTTGCTGAAGGGCCCCATCGTGACACTCCTTGGCATTTCCAGTTTCCTTTAAGACCTTTAGACTTGTCTGGCGATTTCGGACATCTCCCTCAAGCTTGTCATTTTCCTGCTCCAAATGTTTAACATGGGCTAATGTCGGGAAAAAACGACGCCGTTATCCCTATAGTGGATAACGACCTATATATAGTGGATATTCCTCGCAACAGCTAAGGCTTCCTGACCAAAGGTGCAGTACCTAGAATTGATACAGACACCCAGTCATTGCGTTTGGCACATCAGACATTATCGCGCTCATACTAAGATGGAAAATCGCAGATGCTCACTTCCCATCTAATCAAAGATAGGAATCTAGATAAGCATAGCCACAGAATGTGGTGAAGTTGTAGCACTTCACACCGTCACTTGGCAAAATAGATATCATTTGGTTGAAAAGAGATCTGTATGGAGTACAGTCACCATGGGGTGTTAAGACTTGAGGGTGACCTTCAAGTTGTCTCTTATTCACAAGAAAAGACTGTAAATTTACCAGCAACGTTTGCGAGATTAGTATCGCTAACAATGGCTTGTACTCGTACTCGACTGAGGGCAGATACTTGTCATCTACGAACTGGAACCCTCGCCGTTGCCATTCTGCCCGGGCTTTTGCACTGCGAACTTGCGAAATGTTTCGAGATCAACCATGCCCAGAGCCGAATCCTCCGTTGAATCTAGGTCTACCCGTGGAACACCGAGACTGGTGACCTTGCCGCTCCGATAGGCCTCATATGCTTGTAACCACCTGGCAGTGCACAGACACCAACGACAGCCTCCTGACAATCCAATAGTACGCAGGTCATTCCCATGCGATGCTGAGTAGTCAAGAAATTCATCTGTAACTATCCCGGCTACTGCGTGATTGCCTGGATCTTGACTCCCACCTGTCCGACAATACCCGTCGCGAAAATAGCCTGTCATGGGTTGCTGCGAGAACAGCTTGAGTGGCTGCTTGAAGACTGCAGTGGGGACATTGTGTTAGCATTGTGCCTGATGCACTCGCCTGTTGCATCGACAAGAACCGCATGTGTCGTGTTCGGTGCTCACCATTGAGGCTTCCTGATGCCATGACAAGGATCGATAGTATCCGACGAGAGTTGATGGTTTATGTTTTTTGTTTTCGGAACTAGAATAAAGGGATGGAGGAGGGTTGAGGTCGTCGACGTCACGAGGTCAATATCTTCTACCTTATCATTCACATGGATGACGTCACATATCCGTTCCTCCAGCTAAAGAAGAGACATCACTCCTGCCAGCACTGAGCATCTACAACCACTCTACACCTCGACAGCCAGTTTGCGGTGTCCTAACACGATTGTTTTATGAAAATGGTACATCTAACGGCACTGCGGCAGCATTACGAACAGATTGCTTGAGTGGGCACCTGTAATGCGCTGGGACTCGCCACGTTCAATTGTTAAAAGTTGGACAATTGACCGCGCGATAAACACAAATCACTACATTGTTCACCGACACCAGAGCGGCTGGTTGAAGATGTGATCGGCAACAAGTAGTTGCTTAAAACATGGCTCATGTGTATTGAGAATGGGTGATTAGCACAGCTACCGCCGTTCGCAACCCATGCCAAATCTATATAAAAGTCGCCCACGCACAGATTATCACTGTGAGGTAGTATTTCATATCGAGATCAAGTCCATTTGCACTTTAAGCACCGAAAACCTTCATTCTGTCTTCTGCTGGCTGGAAAGTCTTGGGCACAAGACGACCACCTGCGGGCTTTCCGAACACCATCTGGGCTTTCAGACTCCAGTCAGCCGGTATGTCGAACTCCTTTGCTGCTGGGGCGTCCACAAACGGGCTATAATGTTGCAAGCTAACCCCCAAGCCTTCGCTGCACAGCATTGTCCATACTGCATATTGCAGCATGCCGCTTGCATGCTCAGACCCTGTCGAGACGCCAATAAGTATATACAAGCAGTGGAGAGGTGTCTTGCCAAACCGAATTAGTTGCGGCACGTACATTGAGGCATCTTCTCCTTCACCATTGGTGCCTTTTGAGAGGTCTTATCGATGGCGTCTTGACTCTCGTAGAATAAGATCTACACATACTAGTCAATGCGGCACGGCGTATGAAGTGAAGACAAACTTACTGTTCCATATGCGGCGCGGAACATCCTGACACGGGGATCGAACGCCTTGTCAAAGACCTGGGGCGGCACGGCGGCCTTGGCAGCGGTGTGGGCCAGATCCCAGAACTTCTTATGCTCATCCTTCACAAGCACCACGGCGCGGCCAGACTGGCAGTTGAATGGAGTGGGTGCATGAAGAATCCCTTCGCGCACTATCTCTTGGATACGCTCGTCGGAGATGGGGCTCTCATCGGAGAGCAGATGAAGGGATGATCGGCCCTTGATAGCTTCGGCAAGACCAACGGAAGACATGGTGCGATATGTACGCGCGACATGCAACGGGGTTGATTGGTGTATGGGACAAGTAAGACAGGCAATGCTTTGGTGCTGTGCTGCTGGGGGCATATTCGATGTGTGATAACGTAGATATCATGTGAGGGCAACCCAACATAAATAATTGAAGCCGAAGTAAGCAGGCGAGCGGCAGGGAGAACAAGAGTTGCGGACAACGGGCGTGCAGCGGAGCCGATGAAGGCTGCGGCTTGGGGCGCGGGTTTCGGGCTCCAGCCCAAACAACCTCAGTAAACCAATCTGAGAGGCTCATTGCTCGTTTTATGCAGTATGACCAACAGGAAGCATTCCATGTCAAGCATGTCGAGGGCGTGGACGGGACTTAATGCCCATGTGACATCGCTTCTGGGTAAGCCGCGTCTCGATATGATACACCATCTCTCTGTGAGACTTGATAGTAACTATGCAACCTGCCGTACTAATAGCTCATGCCGATCAGCCTGCCCCTCCAAAGATTGACGTGCTTCATGGTCCGGTTGATATACACATATCTAAAGGTATCGTTTAGACATATTTGGGATCGATAAGGGTAAAGCAAGACATGGACCTTGTATCATCGAAAACAAGTCCTATTCCAGTCTTGGCATTGTTGTTAAAACCGGGCTAAAAATAGATGTCACTCATGCTCAAAAAGGTCGGCCTGGGAATCGAACCCAGATTAGCGGAATCAGAATCCGCTGTGATAACCATTACACTAGCTAACCAATCATATTAATTCTTTGTGATAGGGGCTTATATTACGCTAGAGAAGATCATGAGTTTCGAAAAATACTCAGGACAGCAACTTTTTAATTATTTAATTTATAGCTTCATTAACTATGAGAACCCTCCGGCCCTCAACTACCTTATGCGTTGTGTTCAATCCATGGCGTTATTCCGGAATCTCGTGTGCTACCACTCGCCAGTGTAGACTACAAGATGCACAGTGAAGAAAGACTAGATGAATTGTGATCCTAGTCTCGCCAAGCCTCCTAACCCCGCGTCGCAGATTTCGGCAATAAATTCCACAGCTCACAGGCGATCTTGGTCGTACCATAGAGTCTGCATGAACTGATTTAGGGCTGAGTTGATTGTTGGGCCTTCAATTGTCTTCCTCCCTTGCCATACTTGTGTGCGAAGAGCCGCGCTATATCTTCAAGTTTCTTCAGCTCGTGCAGAACGACCTGTGTGCGTAGGACGCCCTCTAATTCACCGTCTCGATTATATGCACCAAGTCGTAGGGAAACAGCGGCGCCCTTGACGCTCTAAACAATGAGGAAGAATAGGAGGTCGGAGTTCTAGAGATTCTCCAACATGTCTACTTACCAACGGGACGCAGAGTCAAATTATGATCAAGATATCGTGGACCATTCCGAGGCTCACATCGATACCACGCATTGAGTGTTGAACCTTGGTTTGCGCTACTCCACACTCGTTGCGGTAATTTATTCGCCCAAAAATCAGTCTGTACATAATTTAAAGAGTCAAATGTCATTGTAACTATGCTCAAGATAGCGACTGTACATGCAAGAGCTTTCGGCGAAGCTTTGGGTTGTTGACATGTAGAATATGCATGATAATTCAATATTCAGTTCCTACTTCATTCCTACAGGGTGAGTTAGGCGACCAAGTAACACGTGCCAGAGTAGATAGACGCATTGAAGGCATGTTTTTCTACAGCTTGCAGTGTGCAGGGCAGCTAATCTGCTGGCGAAAACTATCACCAGTGCCAGATTTACAGCCCTCGTGTTTGACTTCCGTTGAGACCAACACGAAGAATCCTGTCTACGCCATCAACGAATCATGGAGCCATAAGGGCAAGAACGGCACGTGAACTGCATTCAAAATAATGGTGTATCATGATTCTCAAAAGAGCCTTCTCAATTGACGGACTGTCGATGTGGGTGTTTGCAGTAGATGGAGAATTCTTTGGCCTCAACTGGTAGACGCCATCAAAGTCATTCCTCAGAGCTTTAACTTGGTCAATCCGCCACGAAGACATGGCTTTGCCACGATTAACGCACTTATTAATCTCACCTGGGTCGCTGTGGTATCAGGTGACGAATCCCAGAGCATCTTTCCTTCGTTGTCATATCAGCAGTCATCCTGAAAGTGGCATGGCCTTGGTCATCCAAGATGGAATAGACTCCTTCCCTCGATATTGAATATCTTGCATATAGGGCATAAGCTATCAAAGAGCAGCTACGGCTTCTACTCATCCTTTCTCACTCGTAGATAGTGTCGATGTGTTGGTTCAGAATAAGGATAACATTAAAATTCTTTACCTATAGTAGATGTCAAAAAGTGCAAAGGAAATGGCGATCGACGCGATTGGGCAGTGTACAATAGTCCGGCATAGTGAAACAACTACAACATAGAAAGGCTTATATCGGCTTCATGCCTACTTCTCAACGTCTGCCGACCTGTTCTACAGAGTATTATCTGAAGTAGTAATATCGTTTAACAAATGATTAGTTCTCTATGGACTGGCGATCACGCCAAGTGCTTGACGGTGGCTTGCCAGTTCGAATCATCCACAAGGCAGTTGTACCAACAATCTTGCATCTGCTCGGAGACAGCGGCTCGCCGCTTGATCAATTGAGCACACCTTCTTACACAGGCGACTTGTTAGTGAAATGTTCTTGCTTAAGACCAAATTATAACCATCATAAGTCGCGGTGAAGATAATCGCGAAGCACAGTTTCCATCCTTACAGCAAATTTAGGCCACCATATTGTACGCTGGGGGAGACAAGTAGACGTGAGTCTCAATAACAATCGATCTGAATACGACCAAAAAACGAGGCGTTCACGATGGTGTAGCAACTAGCAGCAACTTGTTGTTACATAATCCATCGATACGGAATATTACAGGCAGAGTTGTAGAAACGCCTACTAAAGCCACTGATGAATGCGTTATAAGTGGACATCGCTCTGCGATATCCCAGAAACTGGGAAACGACGCATGGTCAGTACAAGTTGTGAGCATACTCTTCTCATCATTGACATCGTCCACTCTGCAGGTATTCATTGCTATTGGATTTGTTATTCGTTTGAGGAGTTTTGCAGAGATCCGCCTCAAGCCGAGCCAGCCAAGATGGCTCAGAGATCCAGTCTCGGAGATAGCATCGTACCTACTTCAAGCGAATTAGCCACCGGTGCTCCCTGGAAGTAGTCGCCAAGTATTGACATGCCGCTTTTCCCAGAGCGGCAGTCTACAATTCGGCATAGCCTAGACTCATAAGCTACGAAATGGCATGAAGTACGTAGAAAATCCTCTCCAACTCCCTCTCGTCCCTCCGCTCTTCGAAGTTGGGACCTGGCTAGACTTTGACAATCGGCCTATGGAACTGTCTCGCATATGCAGCAAACCCTGCGAGATTCTCTAAGAGCTCGACTGTCGACCATCGGACAACCCATGCAAGCCAGGCAAGTCGAGATATCTGCCGATCGACAGACAGGACCTAGATGACCGAGGTCTAGAGGCTGTGATAATAACCTGTGGCGAGGGTTTCTCATCCTCGAGATAACGTCGGCTCGCAGCGGGGCTTGACTGGCCGTTGAGCATTGGCAAATGAGGCCCTTTGGTTGTGACTCTTGTGAGAATCCCGCGCGCCAAGGCAAATCGGAGAGCTGTACCGAGCTGCGACATCCCCGGCCGCTTTACTGGAAACAGCAGGTCATCTGTATCTCACCATCACTCTCCAGCTTATCTTAGCGCAATACGGAAGGTCGAAGATTGCAGCACTTGGCACTATAATTTGAACAATACCAAGACTCTGCAAGAGCTCGCCCGCCTGCATGTCTGTCAAGGCATTGTCCCACCGGTCGGGACGACCAGCAACAGGGTTAGCCTTGAAGAGCAGCTGGTAGTTCGTTCTGCCAATGGCGAAATGAAGATGTGGCGAGCGCTGCGAACTTGCATAAGCACCTCTCTTGGTCGCGGGTCTTGGGGGACTAGGATTCGCGCCTTATAAGAGGCGACCCGTCTCCTCGGTCGGAAACTGTTTCTGAGGATTGGAGAATCACTCCATTTCTGTGTAGGTGTCTAGAACCGATTGAGAATCGGTCGCCACCGTCGAGATGAAGTCTTTCCTAGTTGCCGCTCAGCTTTTGCTGGCTGCTGGCGTCTCTGCCAGCTTTGAGAGAGCTCGTACTCCTGGTATGCAACTTGGTCCTATCGACGAGGACACGCTCAAAGCCGCGGACTTCTCGAACGGCACAGTTGGGTGGGGAACCTTTGATCAGCTCCTCGATCACAACAACCCCTCCCTCGGCACCTTCAAGCAGCGATGGTGGTATGGCGCACAATATTGGAAGGGTCCTACTTCTCCCGTCATCATGGTCAACCCGGGCGAGCAGGCCGCCACCAACTTCAACATCTCTTATACCTCATTCCAGCGTCTCACTGGTTTGATGGCCCAGCAGGTTGGAGGTGCCGTCGTAATTCTCGAGCACAGATATTGGGGGGAATCGTCACCTTTTGAGGAACTAACCAACGACAACCTCGAGTACCTCACTCTCGAGAACTCGATCAAGGACAACACCTATTTCGCTAACAACTGGGTTGCTCCTTTCGATTCCACCGGCAAATCCACTGCTAAGGACGCTCCGTGGGTGTTCACTGGCGGTTCTTACCCTGGCGCCTTGGCTGGCTGGATTGCTTCCGTCGACCCTGGCACGTTCTGGGCTTACTATGGTACGAGCGGTGTCGTGGAGGCCATTAGTGACTTCTGGCAATACTTCACGCCCGTTCAGGAAGCAACTCCCGCCAACTGCTCCAAGGATGTCAACGCCGTTATTGAATACGTCGACAACACCATGAAGCACGGCAGCCCCAAGGAAAAGACTAAGCTGAAGGCCAAGTTCGGTCTTCAAAGTCTTCAGGACGCTGATTTTGGATCGTAAGTTTCTTGACCCTTAAGCATGAACATTGTCCAAAGACGACGTCTTTTCGGATCATTTTAGAAGTATCTGCTGATACAGTGTCTTTCAGAGCTCTCGAGAACGGCCCCTGGACATGGCAGTCGGGACAATTCTACTCTCAATCGCTAAATGGCTACACCCCATTCTTCCAGTTCTGTGACTACGTCGAGGTATGTGTCATTATGCGCGTCAATTGGAGGCCTTCATATGTTAATATCGCTTCAGAATGTTTGGCCAAACTCCACCAACAAGGTTCCTGGCGCCAAGGGAGTAGGTTTGGCCAAAGCCTTGGAAGGCTATGCCAAATGGTGGAACGAGGTCGAATTCCCCGGCTACTGCGAGAGCTACGGCTACTTTGAGGGTGAATATAATGCCGAGTGTCTTCAGGGCCTGAACGCCTCGAACCCCATCTACCACGATCTTACACCTTCCAACGCCGGGAACCGTCAATGGAATTGGATGCTCTGCGACGCTCCGTTTGAATACTGGCAAGATGGAGCCCCCAAGGGCCAAAGAACCCTTGTTTCTCGTCTCGTGACCGCGGAGTACTGGCGCTCACAATGCGCGCTCTGGTTCCCCGGTAAGGACTTTGGCTTTCACAAGGGCAAGTCGGCCGAGAGCGTCAACAAATACACCGGTGGTTGGTTCGAGACCAACACGACTCGCCTGATGATGACCAACGGCGAGTGGGACCCGTGGCGTGACTCGACCCTGAGCTCTATCTACCGCCCTGGCGGTCCTCTCAAAAGCACCGAGCAGCTCCCCGTCCGTGTGCTGAAGCACGGTACTCACTGCTCGGA